AAAAATTACCTGGTCTTTTAAAGTACTCTCTCCTTTTTCTTTCGATGTCTTCTGATAGAAGTTCCCATGTTTTTTCCCAAACAACTTCTGGTTGAGATAAGCTGGTAGACTGGAGCATTACAACAAACATACAACGCAAGAAGTTTCCAGTAGCCCAAAAACTGGTTGTCTTTATTGTATCAATATACTCCTGGTCATCGTCTAGCAAACCCAGAGCATAACATGCCTCCTTGAACGATTTGTACACCACGCCATTCACTGTTTTGATGTCTTCAAAACTTTCAGGTCCAGTTTGATGATTTAGAAGCACTCTTAAATAATAACCGTCCTCATAAATTAGTGGGACATAATTAATCCTGCCGATTGTATTCCCTGGTCGCTTCCTCATATTGAAAGTTCTTGTTTTACCATCCCAAGTATAATACTCTGGAATCTGAGTATATGTGAGACCTTTGGCTTTAGGACACCGCTTGTTCAATTCAAACCAAGCAAGAAACATCGAATTCTGTAATTCTGATTTTTTCAAAACTGTTTTCACCTCATCATCAGCTTTAAAATATAATAGTTGTTTGCCTGGTAGATGGAATGATAATCTTTGAACAGACGTTGACCTATAATGTATAGGATTTTTCAAGATTCTCCATCCAGCTTCACATGCTGATACATATCTGATACAATATCATAAAACATGTATTAGTTAGAAATGAGTTAAACATCTAAACTATTTACCAAAAATTAAAATGATTTTATACCTGCAATTAAAGAAGTCTTGTATTTCATTTTTACTTGTGCCTCCACTGTTTGAACTATCAGATTTCTCTGTAGTAGTTGTAGTCTTTGAAGACTTTTCATTAGGCTCAACAACTACTGAAACTCTATCCATCCCTTTAGTGATATACTTGAATAAGTACTTGATAGAGCCAGTTTGGTTACACCACTCAACATTAATATGAGCTCTGTAGCGAAGCAGCAACTTCTTGTTATAGGGTATAACATATCCGTTGTCACACTTAAATCCACACTTCTCCACAAACAGCTTTGTCTTTCTTCTTCTGTACAAAGGGAAACCTTCTTTATCAACCTTAGTATGTTCTCTAAGTTTTTTTGGGAAAAACTTAGAACATTTGCCTTCAAGCATACATGGTGAACTCTGGTTGACGACGCCACATGGTCCATGAATCATCATGTCTTTAACGACCTCATAAAGTTCCGGTTCTTTATTCTTGTCAGGAATTTCCGCAGAAATGATTTTATCAATGTCTTCTGGTTTTGGAAACTTAGAACTTGGATGCATCCATATCAATATATGTGCATGAGGAAGACCTCTTTTCTGGAACTCAATTGTATACATTGCTGCGAGAACAACATGAGATAATAATATTAGGTAAACGACATTTTCTTAAAATAGCAGAAACAGATACTTAAATTGTAGACTGTAAACGCAACTATTAAAATAAATCACTTACATGAAACAGTCTTCCCCAATATATGTTTCTTCGTTAAATCATCCATTAGAGAATTCAGCTTCATTTTGAACATTCTGCTTATGATCTCTGGCCTATCATCGGAATTACAATTTCTCTCAGTACAGAATCTTACCAGCTCAGGCCATTTTGGATTGCATGTGAACGTAATGAATAGGTCAGGAAATCCATAATGATTACATGTAGACATTGCATCCATGTACATGTTCTTCATGTATCTTGGCCCACCAACAAAAGTAGCTGGTAGATAAAATGCTTTTCCTTCTTCATTCATATCTGTCTTTCCTGCTGTTGCCGCCTCTTTAACTGAATCATAGTTAGAAGCTCGTAAACTTGACTGATTCAGTTTAATATATTTGAGCCTATTAGCTTCTATGGTGGTATAAGCATCAACCAAGAACTGCTGGTACAACCGTTTTGACCTTAGCAGGAAACTTTGTTCATTCTTTCTCTCTTGTATACGATACGCATACCATTGACGCAAACTTATGCAATCATTCTCCTCAGTTCCTTCGGGCTTGTTTTTCTTTTTACCATGGTTATTCCCTTTCAAAATACGTGTCCTATAACCATCTTCACCCTTTGGAAACAACAAAGGGTATTGTAAAGCAAGATAACATGGTTTTATTTCACTGATTCTTTGTAAATACCCAGATTTTTCTTCAATAATAATGTCACGACTTGGCATACCAATGTGAAAATCACCTGGAATCAGCGCTGCGACCTCTGAAGCTGTTGGCACTGCATATGTTCTTCCATCTTTGACACGGTCACTCACTATTTTCATGTGAAAGCTCTGCTCAGGATTGGTATTAAACCTATCACGAACTTGTCTAAAATGAGCAACGTATGGATTAACTTCATTTAGCAGCTTTATTATCGCCTCAATTATTTCTTTTCTCAGCTCTGGCTTCTTCTTATATTTCCCAGCAGATTTTCCTTTGCTGAAATATAAATTTAGTTAGCAACGACACTAATACTTACAGAAAAAAACACAAAGTCTGGATACTGTAATTGCTTGTTTTGAGTTAGAAAATGTACCTTAAAATTCCTGCTCTGTTTTCAACTTCATTCTCGGTGTCAACTATATATAGCTGACTAAACTTTGGAAATTCACCTTCTCCAGGTTTCAAACTTCCCATCTGGTGGTAATTCTCTCCTTGAATCTGAAACATATTAGGACCCCTTCCCGCTGTAACAGAATTATCACATTTACCCCCAAGAGAAGTAAACGAAAAAATCATGTTATATGCTCTGATGTTCTCTCTAAAGTGTCTACTCATGTCATCATCATTGGTTAGCAAAGCAAATAACAGTTCTGGTTGATTATGGAGGAAAGGTAGTTTCACAGATCCTTGCAAACAACATTGAGTAAAAATTGGTTTACGAACTTTCTTATGTCTGTTGATGCGTTCTCCATACCACATAATAGCACCGCAGTAGGAACATGAGTAGACAGGATCTCCATGATCTAGATACTCTAAAATAACAGAAAGACAGTTTAGCATAAGTAAAGTTTGTTTAAGAAAAGATTTAGAACTAAACCAATGATGGAGTACCTGTGTTTTTGTTCTTTCTGCTAGAAACATTAGGAGTTTTTCTTTCTCCAAAAGCTTTGGTCAAACTTTCATCTAACATAGATAAAAACTCATATCTTTGTTTGACTTCGATTGGGATATCGTCTATGCTTTCATAATCTTCTGATGTTTCTGAATCATTTTCATCTGGACTACTACACTCATAAACCTGTTCACGTGTTTCCTCCAAATTCCCTATAATATTTTTTTCCCCTGATTAGTGAATGCTTTATTAAGTTAAGAAAATATATCATACTGATTTTTACTTACTCATATTAATATATGTTTCTTCCTTTGAATTCAGGATCTCATCAGAGTCTTCTTCGATTGTTGGATCATAACTCTTGTGAGATGTTTTTTTCTCCTTTGCCAAAGACTTTGGGAACCTCAGAGTGTTTCTTGAATTGGTAAGTATAATACCCTTAGTAGCTTCATGAAATCAACATTACTCCATCAGTGTTGATCTATTAATACTTTTTATGTAATAGTTTCATATTATTGAGAAGCATATATACCTTGTTTGCTATTAACAGATGGAGGACTCCACTTTTTCCCCTTTTTTTCTGGTGGCTTATGAGGATTAAGTGGAGTTTGGTGAACCTCGCTGTGAAGCTGTGATGTATTAATAATGTTCTGCACATCTTGAAAAGGTCTTCTCTGTGTCCTTGCTGTTTTTTTTGGCTGATCTTACACTCGTATTATAAGTAACTGTAGACTCAAATCATAAACCAGTATGGTTATTTATTAGTTAGCATCATATGTAGATGCTATATTGTTGGAATATAATTGTTTACATACCTTGTGTTTCCTTTTGTATGGCTACAGAAGAAGAAGGACCAGTTACTGTCTGTAAGGCTTCAGAATCACACAGCTGGGCTGGTATGTTACCTATTCCAGATCTCAATCGATTAAAAATCCCTTTTACTTGAACATCACTCCTATCTTGTTGGCTCTGTAGATTTGGATTTATGTTTTCATCATTCAGCTGAGACCTAGAACGCTTTGTGATAGGTGTCTGCAATACATTGTTATTTTCTTTTACTGTTTCATTTTTTCTTCTCTTCATCCTGAAAAACAAAATTGATTTGTGATGAAAATTAATTCCAATTATGTCATTTGTATATGAACATGTTCAATGCTGAAAGAGCTTAAAAGACTGACCTTATAGATGTTTGTTTGCTAATGAGCCGAGTAGCTGTAGATTAGGATTGAAGGTGTTAAATGGTTATGTAATGATTATAAAGAAATCGTCTCATCCTGATTTAGTGTGATATAATTAAACTGAAAAGATTACAGAATATATTTTCTTTTCCATATTCATAACAATATTTACTTGATTGATTCTTATTTTTATTGTTAGAATCTTGTATATTAATAGGTTAAATATATTAGCTTTGGTCTTGAAAACAGTTGTTATACTACAACAATGAAATCTTTTAAAACTGATTTATCTCAACTGCTATACTATTCCAATTTGTTAACGATTGAAGAGGAGATAGATTTTTATAGCTTAAGATCTTTAAAATACTTGCAGATAAAACGTTTAAAATATATGTACTTATATATCTATACTATTAATTAAGTTAGGCCCAATTAATAGTATAGATATCGTCAGATTAGTAGATTTCATCTTAGTCTTTGTTTGTTTGTTACTAACATGTGTTTTCTTTTGTCTACAGTTTTAGCTACTAAAATGGGGCTTATATATGAAGATTCATCAGTACAAATCACAGGTTAGTATATTTTCTCTCTCTGTTTTGTGATCTTTAGTTTAAGCACAAGTTAGTTTATATTTTGCAAAGAGTTTAGTATAAGGAGAAGCTTAGACTTTATTGCTTGAATTCAAAATAACTGAAAATTAAATAGCAAATAGCTAAAGGAAATAACTAAGAAGTTTTTAACTTGAATAAAAGAAAAAAATAGAAAACTAATTGCTACAGCCAAGCTCCCTACATTATTCCCAGCCAGCACAACTTAATTCTTGCCACCTTCAATCTCTTCCTTCTCAATGTCACCAAGAATGGAAGAGACACATGCCTTTTTAGTAGTAGAACCCTGACCTTCAATGTCCTCAGAAACAGCATCCATACTACGCTTAGATGAAGGAGTGGATGATGTAGGACCTAAAGGGTCAGTGGTTTCACTACTATTGGTCAGAGCAAGTCCTTCCTGTTACTCCAAGAAAATCAGGATAGTCAATATATAATAGATAATTCTTTCATATAACAAAGTCATTAAATTACATAGTTATAAGTATCCATAATTTATTCCCTGACTTGAGTATAACTGATGGTACTCACTATTTAATTGAAACACGATCCAGCCCTTTAGTGATAAACTTGAATAACTTTTTGATAGATTGATTTTGGTTGCACCTACTAACATTACCTGATCAATAGAGAGGTCATTACGTTGGTCAGTCTGCTGGTCAGAATCTTCAACAGTATCTAGATTGTCAGATTCATTACCCAGCCAAACGGTTGAAACCTTGTAGGTATCATCAGTTTCATTGATGTTTTCCTTTCCAACAGTCACCAGAAACTGGAAAGTCTTTCCAACCAAATCTCTGATTTGCTGAGGCAAGTTTGTAGGATCCTGAATCTGTTATGATAGATTGATCAAAGTACATAAGAGATTTGAATATTATGGTCTATATACATATTAACAACAAATTTGTTTACCTCATCCCACTTCCCTTCCAACAAATCCTCTGCAGACACACCGATTATCTCTTGTGCACTTTTATCAAAGATAAGACATTTAGTGTCTCCAGTGCTATCCATTACTCCAACGTTTAAAAGATACCTACATATCAAAGGAACAGGAAAGTAGATTAGATACATAGTTATTATCTGACAAATGTAGATATATATTAGCAAATCTCAAAGTCTTACCTTGGTATCACCTTAGGAGTGTCTTCCTTACATGTTGGACACCAAAACATTTCTTTCTTACCTTTCTTGACAATCTCATTTTCAACCTTTGGAATCTTATAGGCAGTTTTGCTACACTTGAGGCAACTAAAGAAATACCAAGAATAGTCTGTGTCGATATTCATTATGGTACAAATTATGTTGCACTTTCCAGTCTAAACAAAAAAATAGATAATTAGTAGTATAGACAGATAATTTAATAGTTGCTAGGAAAAAATAATATTATCAAATACAAATACCTCAGAAAAACAAAAGAGTCCAGAGATGGTTTTCCTTGGAAAACGATCATAGTAATCCTTTTTTCTCTGTTCTGCATTCACTTGTTTTGTCTTCGAGTTTTCGATAGTCAGTGGCATAACATCAGGTGGTAAACTATTTTTAACAAATAAAAGAAAACGAAATCAACTTTAGATAATATAAATAGGATTCACAGTTATATATTAGCAAAACAAATGTGACGTTTAAACATATCTTACTTGGCCACAAACTCAAGAACAGCAGGGTAGTTAGCATTGATTTCCAATAGAGACATATCAAATGAATTTGAAACAGCTCTTTCACCTAAAAACAGCATGATATTAGTATTTTTACATATGTTCTGGTTTCATTTCGATTTATCAAATCATGCATTCATAATACTTTACCAACATTCTATACCTTTAAATGAGTTGATCTTTGCAAGCCGAAGCAAGCAAATCACTCTCTCAGTCCCTGCATTTTGACATGCATTATACATTGCCTCAGCAAATCTCCCCCAAAGAGTGCATTTTAGCCTTTCATCACTAAAATATAACAAAAATTGTGAGAAACTTTTGAGTTTAGATTTATGTAAGATTATATAAAATAAGGTAGATATTGACTAAACTTACTTTGTGTCTCTGAGTTCACACTCAAGTCTCTTTGTGATCTTGTTGTTAACATCATGAATTTTCATTTCATTGAAACTAACAACCTGTCCAAGTACATCTGCAAAATAAGAGAGTAATAAATTATATTTTCATGAAGAAGTTCCTATTATAATAGAAAATAGAAAATATACAATGGAAAGTAAGATAGATATAGTACCAATTAAGATGTTTTCACTCAATCCTGCTTCATTCAAAATATCTAGAAAGTTTGCCAGATCCACATAAATGTCATCAGAAACAGCAGGAGTGCGACTTATCACAGTTTTTTCCATCATGGACATCTTGAAACCATGTTTCGTGGCTCGATACTTTCCTGTTGATTTGGTTAGTGTAAAATGCTCGATAATACGCCATTCTCCAGAAACTATGAACCTTTGGAGTTTGCTCACTTGTGGCTTCTTAACAGTAGCATGAATCAAAGTACCCTGGCAACAGATAAAAAGAACTCATGTTAATCATCCATTGACATTGATGATTGATAAACGTTTATTTGATTTGAAAATGATAGTTCTTTTACTTACAGATGTATCAGCAAGAACCATTTCAACTGTTTCTCCTGTGAATTGAGTGTATTGTGTCCACGAATGCACAATCTTAACCTGAATTTTCCAATGTGTTTTGAAGGGCTTAATGTCAGCAAGAGGGGTGAATGCTTGCATAGCTGCCATTTTCTTAGAGAAATAGTGAAGTGGTAATGGTAAAGCTTTGGAAGGTGAGTTCTTTAGAATGCAGGTAACTATATTTATAGTAATCGTATGGAGCCTTTAGTTTTATTAGGTTTTAGAGAATATAGGCCGTATAAGATAATTTGGGATTAGGATCTTAAAGGTATATGCTTGATTTAGGTAGATTTCGTTGCATATAATTTTCGATTTACTTGTTTGGTATATCAATATCGAACTGAATATAGATATTGAAGAGATTATGTGTAGATTATTATACCAACTAATAAGGGAAATCTAATAAGTTAGAATATTGTATCTTTCAATATAGGGAAATAGGAATTAATTAGTTTTGAATTTAATTTGCCATGTAAAGGGATATTTTTAAAAATGAATTAATAGTTTGCGTTTATATGGTAAGATTTTTGCGAGATTTGAGTGTAATTATTAAAAAAATTAATAAGTTAGAATACTGTATCTTTCAATATAGGGAAATAGTTATTAATTAGTTTTGCATTTAATTTGCCGTGTAAAGGGATATTTTTAGATTGGCATTAATAGTTTGTGTTTATATGGTAAGATTTTTGCGAGATTTGAGTGTAATTATTGAAACAATTAATTGCTAACTTATTTCCGATTTAGAATAAGTAAAGAATATGCTTGATTTGTTATAATCTGCAATAGAAATAAATACGTTTTATTTTAGGAAGTGTAATTTATGAGATTTGTTTGTTAAGGCAATATACAGAGTAGTATAATTGATCCGGAAAAATAGTAAAGAATATGCTTGATTTGTTATTATATGGAATAGAAATAAATACGTTTTATTTTAGGAAGTGTAAATTATGAGATTTGTTTGTTAAGGCAATATATGATCCGGAAAAATAGTCAATGTGTCGCTAATGTTTTTATTTGGTATTATCTACTGCAGATTCCAAAAAAATCAAAAAGAGATTCATGATGGGCCTAAACATATTGTAAGCCCAATAGATATTTTGCATTGACATAATCGGGTCAGTTATATTTTAAAAACAGGATCCGAGTGTAGGATCCGGGATCCGCGTCCCAACAGCGGGAATTTTACAATTTTACCCCTCCACGAAAATTTTTATTTTGTCTTCAAAACTTTAATTGTAATGGCATTCTCTTGTAATTATTTACAGATTGTAAGGTTATTTTTCAGGTAATCCTTCCCAATTAATAGTATAGATTAGATATTAATATTTTTATACGATATATTGATTTCAAAATAAAAAGGATTTTAGTTAGGATAGTTTTAGCTTTATACGAATTTTATATTTTATATTTCATAAAAAAAATAGTATTTTGAATCTATATTATTAATTGGGAATCACTCAAAACTAACAAACCTTATTTTGGTAGATTAATTACAATGAATCCCATTAGAATTATTGAATTTAAAAAACAAAAGAAAAAAAATCGAAAAAATATATTCAAAAATATATATATATATATATATATATATATATATATATATATTGTTGAGCATTTTTCTTTTGGTCAAAAATATATATTCAAAAAGTATATATATTTATTTCATTGGAGCATTAACAATATATATTCAAAAAGATTTTTCTGTCTTTTCTATCTAAAACTTAAACATGCTAAATTTACTGTTATGATTTAATAAGGTTTCCATAACAATTGACAATAATAAATTCAAAATAATAAAATAAAAAATACAACTGTTTACGATTAAATCAAATCTTAAATTAGTTTACGAAATCATATCACAACAGTTATTATACTTGCCAAATATAACTCTAATTATAGATTCTTTAAAAAAAAAAAAATCAAACATATAACTCGAATCTATATTTAATACTTTGATTCGTAAACATATTGTTAAGATTATAATAAGAGAAATTCCTAAAAATAGCCCTAAAACAAGTTTTATTGACAATAATAGCACACACTCCATAAACTTCCAAAAATAGCACTAGTTAACTTACTATTAGTATTTTTGTTCTAAAATTTTATCACTAGTTTTATTTTCAATAATACCATAATTTTTATATAAAAGCTATTCAACAAAATAAATTAGAAATAAATTTAAAATATTATATTTGGGTTCTCTATTTCTAATTTAGGGTATATATTTCCACCATTTAAAAGAGATTTTGATTCATTTTAATATTAGTTTATGGTATTATATTTGGGTTCCCTATTTCTAATTTAGGGTATATATTTCCACCATTTAAAAGAGATTTTTATTTTAATATTAGTTTGTGGTATTATATTTGGGTTCCCTATTTTCAAATTAGGGTATATATTTCCACTATTTAAAAACAATTTTGATTCAATTTAATATTAGATTAGTGTTTGCTCTCTTTTTTATTTTCTATCTTATATTTTCATTAAGTTAAATTAAAGTTTATGGTGCTATTTGTGGAACTTTTCAAACGAGGTGCTATTTTTGGAAAAAGCAACTTTTTTGGGGCTATTTGTGTCAATCTCCCTAATAATAATGTGTTAACCCTAAATATTGAAACTGATTTTTTGAACGGGATAGGATGAGAATTCCTAAAAAAAGGTCGTATAACATATTACAATTAAAATAAAACATTGCTTGCAATTGTATATTTAAAATGTTTCTTTCAATTTATCTAGCATAGAATGTGCCAAATAAAAGATTTTGGGACGGGTAAAGTTTATTTCGTGATGGAAAGTTTGGGAAATTTGGGTACTTTCTAAAACATAATAGTGAAATATTGAGAAAATAAAGAAAATATGGATAACTTCAACTAATTATGTAAAAAATAAATACCTAAACAAAAATACATAATATACGGGTATTCCATCCGAATCCTAGACCTACACGATATACAATCACAAACGAGTAAATTAACGCTTATGTGATTAAATGTGTGTGGTAGATATGTAACCATACGGATTTTCTGTCTCAAAATTGATATGTCTATTTTCTCTCTCTCTTTTTAATTATATAATTGTCTTTACTGTAACCAAAAACAAATCCGATTAATTATTTTGTCTAAACCAAATTGAAACTAAACCGAATACCAAACTGATATGAGGTAGGATAATGAATGTTATATCAAATAAATACATCTACCAACATAACCCCGCACGAACGTGCGGGTCCGAATCTAGTATATGTTAAATATGTTCATTTGATAGGGTTCTTATAGTATCATAAATCATCATGTTGATGCAGACCGTTCAGTGTGTGTTTGGAGAGATTTGACGTCAATTCTAATTTGTACAAAAATCTTAATTGCTTGACTAAGGTATAATTGTTATTTATTAAATCTTAGAATTTCTTGTTTTGGATGAATTTACGATAATGGTGGTAAAGCAAATATTTTGGTATATTGGCAAAACAGGAAAATAAGTGATATTGGTAACAGAGAGATCACATAAGGTATTGTATATAACGTATAGAAAAAAGTAGTCGGTTTATTTGTAACGAAAATCTTATGTAGTTTGCTAAGGAAATCTAAAAAAACCCGTATTAAGATCCGTTACCCGTTTGGAAAACAAATGGATATTATGTACAATGACTTGTTTATCTTAAATGAGCTTTATTAATTTGGTAAATCAAATTTTATTTATAATGGCATTCGTAACTCGTAAGTAATAGTTTACAAAGGGCAAGATTATTTTTTTAAAGGTACTTCGGTAATATTATATAGAGATATCTTTTCTTCTGAATAAGGAGGCATTCGATTTTTGTCCAGTTCTTTTCCAATATTTCCAATATAACTACTTAATTTCTAGATGTTTTTTTTCGTTTTTCCTTACCATAATAATATGTAGGATTTGAAAATTTACTGAACTACAAAAACCAGACCTTAAGATTTGTATGCTGTTATATCATAACATCACATCGAACATATATGCTAAGTGAAATCTTCTATAGGTTCTCATAAACCTTTTGGCTGGCTTATATGGATAGCTTTAGAACAGGCAAGACTCTCATGTTATATACATCTAAGAGTTAATCCTTTACGAGATGATATTTGTATCGCCTCTATCAAATCCACATCTCAACTCCAACTACTAAATCAGATGCGAACTTTCTTCTTTTCCATCATCAAAAGAATAGCACAACTAGAACATACTTTCATACAAATCAAGACAATCTAGTACAAGCTGCTTACAAAGTAATTTGATTTAACACCAGCTAGACATGACCGCGTAAATCTAACCCAATTGCCTTCTTCTAAAACTCAGAGGCCATTGGACGTCTAACAAGTAATTGATTTCAGCATCTCTTTATGATTCCCACCACTTTCCTACCAATCTCCTCCTTTGTCTGCTCTGACACCGGAACATCTCCAATGTACATACCAAAAAATGCTCCTGCAATGTTTGTAAATCTCAGCTCTTGGACTTTTAGTACGCAAACAAGAGCAAGAAAAAAAAAATTAGAAAGAAGAACTAACTGCAAAGATCCTTGCTTCGGACAGCGCCAATCAGGTTACCGCCAACTGCAAATGTTTACCATATTCAGGTGAAGTGTACAATAAATTACATTAAAGAAGGAAGCTTCATTTTGTATACAGAATTCGCAATCAGTTTCCCTAGTGTAATAATTACTCACTCTCTGTGATAAGTTGTCCATCTTCTGTTCGTCGAAAGTCTATTATTGTTCCCTGCAAATAAGCCACTAAAGTGAGTCATACTCCTTTATCTGTGTTTATAAGTAAAACGTGAGTGTAAGCATTAGCCGTTGTGTACCGCGGGTATTGGAATGTCTTGTCTGAAGAATGAACCAAAATCATTCAAACAATTGAAATCAGTTTTTGGATTTGCCTGAAATAAAAATGAAGAAGCGTATGATATGGCAAAACGTAATTCACAACGATGATCAGCGTATACAACATTTTGTTTCGGTGTATAATTTTACCTTCACCAAACGAGCACGCAGAGATTTCTCAAAAACACTGGAAAAAATGACAAACAAGGGAAGTGATTATTTTGCCATCTATCAGTGTGATGCGCCTCAATGAGGCTGCCTCAAATCATCAAATGGCAAGTAAACAGATTGAAATAAACGAAACAAAAGAAACTGGGAATCAATTACAGACCACAGCACCTTCACGAATCATTAACATAGTAAAAAGCTACAAGATGTTCAATATTTATAACTTCCACTTACTCTCTCACAGTATTGATCTTCAAGCCATTGTAGTTAACCACAAGCCTCACACTCATAACAATATCCTCCCTGAAAAAAACTCAAACAAAAGACTTTCAGAAGAAATGTCCAATTAGATACTCAAAGCTACACCAGTTAAAAGTGCAAATCTGTCAAAATATAATACTATGAACAAAGGCTACAAATACCTAAGAAGGTCTTTGTATAAGTCATCGCATTTGTCAAGTTTGCTCGCTGGAACCGAGGCATACTTTCGGCCAAGCTTCTGGCAGACCGAGGAAGGATGAACATCTTATACAGAGAAGTCCGAGTTAGAAGCAAAACAAGACAGATGATTCCATAAAAATAGGCAGGGGGAAATATAGAAAGATACAAAGCTAGAATGCACTTACAAAAACCAAATGCATATACTTTAGAGATTTAATTCTGATAATTTTCATTGTCCGAGATCCAGTTGCAACAAGCACCTTAAATTGTAATGAATTCAAAATGTATTAATTTTTCGAAACTCAATATCTATTCTTTGGTGACTGTGACCAGATACTCTAACATAAGTTGTAATGACAGAATAACAACTGAGGAAGAAAAGCTATAAGAACCTCAGAATTCGATCGCGAAGCATTCTCCTTCAACAACATCGGAAACTCGATCCCTGTTCGAGGCTCCACTGTTTGTCTTGTCCAGTCTAATTTGTGAAAACTCAAACCACTATATTCCTCATGCCCAACCTGACAAGTCCTATTTCCGGTATTCTCCGAAAGTTGAACATCATTACTCCCTAGAGGCAGAGCATGTCCATAAGCAGACCTAATAAACTCTACAATCAGAAAATTCCCTATAAAGAGAGTTTTAGTAATGAACAATTTAATAAACTCACATAACATTCAAAGACGGTATCAACGCAGCCGCCAAGGAGAGAACGGAACACGAATGTAGCCTCTCAGCTTCATTAACAAAATGCTGAATAGTGGATTTAGAAATACTTCCAAAGAAGCCAGGAGTAATATCTTTTGATACATAGCGAAATGGGAACACAGAGAAGTTCCGATGTTCAAATGCAAATCGCTTCAAATTCTTTGAAGAATCAGAGCTCTTACAAGTTAATCCCCATTGATGTTTAGATACTTCTTTTTGCAAGTTCCCTTGTGAAAACCAACAAAGCAAAGCTCCTGTAAACTTAGAGATACAACTAAATGCTTCGAAAGCGAAGCTTCCGGGTATATGTAATTGCGAAAACAACTCATGGTGTAAGAAACTCCTCTTTGGTAAAACTGTATTTGGATCCATATTTGACATTATAACTGCAAGAGACCAAACTTCAATTGTTCCAAAGATTCTGCAAGAAAATCAACACAAAGACAAACCTCAAATCAAATCAAAGGCTAAAGAATCAAAGATAAACCAAATTAGAGATAATCAAATTCCAAATCAACAACAACAATCACGAACAAGCTTTGATCTAACGTAACCAATTTTATGATCTTTGACATTATCGTATCATATAACACCAAAACGCAAAATCAGAATCACAATTCCAAGAAAGTGAAATACAACAACAACATACAAGTGTTTCAGAAGATTTGCACGAAAGCGGAATCAAAAACAGAGGACGAAGAATCAACGAAGCTTTTTTTTTTTATTATTGGTTACTCTGTTTTTGGGATCTCTTGACGAAAGAGAAGAAGAAGGAATATTCTTTGGCGTAAGAAACAACAACAACGGCGAAGAGTTTTTTGCTTTCAGGGTTTCTTCTTCTTCGGTGCAATTATTTAATTATTTTTTAAACTCGCTTTTTCGAATGTTCTGAATTCACGGTAGACCCCATGTGTTTTTATTTTATTTCGATTTTGACATTATATTTAGTATTTGTTCAGTTTCACCCCCAATGCTTTTTAATGTGAGAACTTTGTATGTTAGGAACACTCCAGAACTTTGTAGTACTGATAATTGATTTATTTGACTCAACTCTTGATCATAGACCATGTAACTATAAGGAAGTTTCCCGTCTTTCTATTCGTTTGATGAATCAACCGCAAACGCTCTTGTACTGGAGTCGCTTGGCCACACTGCCTATTGTCAAGGAATTCCAATAGCAAGTAAACTTATAGAGTTATTTGTTCACTCGCCTTTAACGGTTAAAGAACTATCACTATCATCTTTAAGAGCTAAAGGATGTGTTCACTCGCCTTTACCGGTTGAAGAATTATTGCTATCCTCGGAATCTAAGATGGCCCCTGAGAGTTCGGGTGTGATCTATGATTGTAACTGTTCTTTATACCTTTACCATGCTTTGTGTTACGTTTCACTTTTTAGCTTTCGAGATGTGGACTCTTTGGCACATCGATCTTATATTCCTCGTATTGTAGCCTCATTTTAAGATCAATATAACCAAAAAAGATTTAAAAAAATGAGATGCTTTTGATGAAAAACAATATGAAGCCAAAGACAGAGGAATGTTAAACAAAACAATGAGAAGAAAATAGAAACTAGTCGGAGCCATCGAGACGCATTAGATTTTGAATCAATTATACGGTCATTCAGTTTTCGAATTTTTCTTATAATAGGAGAGGTAATTTACTTAGGATATGTAATATAATAAGGTCATAAAAGGCCAGCCTCCAATAGATTTCTCCTTCTTAGTGTCTCATCTACGAGCTTGAAGGTTTTCTTTACAAGCTTCTGGTCCAAAGCCGTCGTCCTGTAGATTTTGAATACCCTGTCCACTCTATCCGGCGCCGTGTTTTGGTAATATAATTCCTCAAACTTCTTCTTCACAAACCTTTTGTTTAATCAAGTCCAAAGTGTAAATCAGAAGGTCAAATTACTGTAACAGCGTGGTGGGTATCAGTCAAATTTGGAGACAAACTTACTCGTATGCATGCTCAATCTCTTGTTTCCCACTTGAAACTGGTTGGTAATCTCTGAACCACTCGCAAACGTTTAACGGAACCTATGCACATTGAAAAAGAATGTGTTATTGAACCAAAAGACTTGCTTGTCTATCTAAACAAATAAATATGCTTCAGTTCTTCTTACATCAAGAACCTTCTTCTCAAATATGTCGAACTTATTCAAGAACAGCATGAAGGATGTTTTCTGCGTAAGAGAACCAAGTTTTTGTAAACAACTCATCTTAAGAGTCTCTTCGAAGTTTAAACCAATAAGATTTAAAAAGAAAATAAAAAACCTCGAAACAGGGCTGTTTCAGAACCCAATCGAATAATTCTTTGGTCTCCATCATCCTGTTTATCTGCTCGTCCTCAAAGAGAGTTTGGTCGTACCTATGATCCAAACTCGGTTAATGTTTGGTAATGAAGCCCAATGATATCTTTAGATTATAATGAAATGAGCTTACTCGCTGATGGCAGCACAAAATATCACAGCAGTTACACCTTCAAACAGATGAATCCATTTCCTCCTCTCATTTCTCTGTCCACCCACGTCAAATAATCGGTACACTTCACCACTTTTCTTATTCTCTCCCACAGGGCTGCATAAATGAAGCTTTATCTCATATACATTCTTGGTGTAAGGTTGATGCAAGTACATTCAAGACAATAAGAAGTTTGACATTGGTATGGAATTCATATGATTTTATTAGTAAATCAAATTGTCAATCAAAGGATCCAAATCAGTACACACTTTTATTTAACTCACAAAAAAACTACACATCAAAGAGAGACATCATTAACAAAAGAATCTCCAACTCCACCAATTCCCAATCCAAAACGCTAGACAAATCAAGAATCCCCACTACACTTAAAACCTGTTAGCCCTCTAGCTAATTGCCGTGATGATTCTTTCTTAGCTGTTAACACAGCTTCGGTCTACGACAAACCGCCTAAGCTAATTATACTATTTCTCATCTATTCAGAAAAGTGAGACCTGAACTGCATAAAAATGCCAATTAAACTGGCAGAAGTGTAAAACATAAAAGTAGTTGGCACCTGAACTGTATTTCCACGACACCAGTTGTGCGAACTCTTGCATAGAGAACATCTTCCTGAAACACCAACATAGAAAAAATGCACCAATGACAACACATTACGGAAGACAAATGTCACAGAAATTGCATATTGACCCTAGTCTCAAAATTTTGCTAGCACCCAAGAAGATATGTGTTGTTAAGAACCTCTTAAAACTGATAGGATTAAACTAAGCTAATATGGAAAGCAAAAAGCTACTGTTTGTTGATGAATTGATCCTCAGAGGCTGATCAAATGAATTTTATTCAACCAGCTTCGATCATTACTTCAAATATTTTCATCAAATAATGATACTTTGGTTATACCTTTGTTGGAATATAATTTATATCTGATAGTCTCTTCAAGTTCTCCATCAGATATTTCGTACAATCAGGAACCTGAAGCTCATTACCACGAGCACATGTTTCCTACAAAATGAAACATCGAGACATTCAAATGAAAGTATAAACCAAATGGAATCATTTAAATCATGTATTCAACTTAGACTGCCATTGTAAGGAAAACGTCCACGCACACACACGCACCTGAATTGCAGGATCCTTCCATAGTGTTTCGATTCCCTCGGCTAGGTCCTTGGTAAGACGCGGATAGTCCAACCTACCACCAATCTCAGATAGTTTCTCACCAATTGCCTGATATTAGGATAATAAGTTGACAACCATAAGATAATGTACTCAACAATACTCATAACTCTAACAAAGACCTAGGAATTTAACCACTTACAATACTTTCAGAGGATAACATATATTTTGCAGAATCTGCTTCATTTTGAGCAAACTCCTTTGTTCCATCATGCAATAACTGTTCAACAATATAGAGTAGCTATTAAGAATGATTACTAATATTACTGTTTCTCTAAATTTGAAATCCAAAGAACTCCAAAATGCCACCAATTAGAAGGAAAAACTCGACACAGCCATTTCAAATTTTGCGTACTTTTATAGTCTGATAGACATTGGCATGGATGACTGGAACATAACTCTTTAGTTCTCCTTCATCAAATCCCGTTTGAAAGAGAAGTTTTATCTGCAAGTTAGTAATTTTGTCTCATTCAATTATCATGATTCATAAGTAAATTGAAGTAAAAACTACAATCAATTTTGTTTGGGACTTACCTGCTTAAAAATTGTAGATTTTCCAGATTCTCCAGCACCTTTGCCAACACCAATCAGAAAATTAGAGGAAATCTATTAGCAAAAGATTCATCAAGTCATGCCATTTGTAACTGATTAATATAACCAAGGTCCACATACCAAGTAGTAGAAGCTTCCGAATATGCTTTTCGGCCTTTGCTTCTTGCTCTATCCGTCTTTCGATTTCAGCAGCCTACACATTTTATACAAACCAAGTTAACTCTTAAAGTATCAGAACAAATGCTCACATACATCGAATCAATAGCGTTACAAGAGCCAAGAGCTACTGAGTCAACCTGTGTATTCTCATCAGTATCTTCTGTATGATGTCGACTTCTACTGCAGAGTAAGCCCATGATTGTTTCTATATCCCCACAGATAATAATATGGAAGTCGAAAACTATCAAGATTCAAGCTTCACCACTATAACAGGACAATGCTTTACCTACTAATGAAACCATCCAGTGAATATAAATCCTTTTGCTCAACATTTTATGACTATACATAGAGTCTCACTCACCAAAATAGCATACATGTTCAAAGAATGCAAGTAAAAAAAAAAAGCACAAATCTTTACAATATATTGGATTAGTACCTCTGAAACGAAACAAGTTCAGTATCATACCATTAACAAAATGGGCTCTAAAATTCGATTAGCTAACACCTCAACTGCTATAATCAGATCCAAGAAAAACAAAAGATTCATAATTTTCACTTCCAATCTACAGCAACGACGAATTGATCTACAAAACCCTAATCTTGAACAAAAAAAAAACAATTCGAAACGAAACACACAAAAAAAAAGACAGAACAAGGGATAAGATCTGAGTAATAAAAAACAAAACTTTCATAAAACCCAGAAGAGCAAATTTGGGGTAAAAAAAAGTAAAGTAGAATTCACCTGAAGAGCAAAAAGAAATGGAGTCAAAGGTAGTGAAGAAGATTCGGAGCTCACAACAAGAACAAGAAGAAAAGAAGAAGAAGAAAGTACAAAACAAGGTCTGAGAAGAGAGCAGGAGAAGAAGTACTAGTTCTGCTTCTCCTGTTTCTATTATTGTTTGTTTACCACTTTCTTTCCGCTTTAATGTTTTGCTTCACTCTTTTGGATTTATCTATGTATTTTGTATTTTTATCAGAGAGATACATAAATGCAATATTATGAATTTTATTTTATTTTCACCTAAATGCAATATTATGAATTGTTGCCAAAATTCATACAAAGTTGTTGACAAAAAAAAGTAAATTATGATAAATTTAATTAAATTAAAATTAATATTTTATTTGGTCGTAAAGAAAGAAGAAATGTAAAAAAAAAAAAAAAAAAAAAAAAAAAAAAAAAGAAGAAATGTTAAGCAAAGGGGAAGACGAAATTACGCCGAAAGGTCCTAACGTAGGAGGACTCGTAAGTGGTCAAATGTTGAAAAGATGTGCCTCTCGTGAAGATAAGAAGATTAATTACGGAATCTATATGCATTGTGAGTTTATTAATATACAACCATTATTGGAAGAGAATCAAGCTTAGCAAGACAAAACAAATTTGGATTTTTATACCTTTTACCTGTAAAAGAAAATTAACTAATTGAGTAATGCTTTTTTCGTTTGTTTGTTTTGTGTAGAATTGACATATAAGATTTATTGTGATTATTGTAAGTTTGTAACATTTTCATACATACAAGAAGTAAAATTTAGAATAAAGTTTTATTATAACGCGGTTCTACAAGAGGATCTAGATTCGAAATTGGATCGAATGTACGAAAAATTTGTACAAAGTTTAACAAAACAACAAAAGTGATTAACTGATAAATAGAGAGACTATGGAACAAATTGGTAAGAAATCCTCACTATATAGTATGAGGAGAAAACAAATTATGAATAAAGTGCTTGAAAGCTTAGAGACGAACATAGATTATAAACTAGAATCCAAACTTAAACTTAGGTCTAAAATCTTAGAACAAAGTGTAGATTGTAAAGCAACTCAGACCGAATCGACCCAAGACAAATCAGGTTCGAGCAATGAGAAAGTTTTCTTACTTGGAGACTCATTGTGGAGGCCACTTTTTATAAACCTCAGGGGACACCAGTAATTTGACATAACAAATAAAGAACTCGTCGTAAAACGTCCAGAACTGCCTGACAAGTTTAAGTCTTCCAGGGATTTCGAATTCTGTAGGATCATTCTCTTCGACATATATCTCCATCTCCTTCAAACACGGGAAATACTCCAAGAAATGCGTTATCATCTTCATCTCTTTAATTGTTCCTCTAAACCCTGTAATCTTCATATACTTCACTGGACAAGATGAGCGTGAGCAACCTTTGTCCTCACGAGAAATGCAGTCACAAGCATCCCCACATTTATCAGTCACATAGTGTGAGAGATCCTGAAAGTCGAAAATAAAACTATAAGAAAAGTATACATCTTTGTAAAATGTTTGACAAATGAGTTGTGTTTAGACCTCAAGGACTAGAGTTTCTAAATGAGGACAGTTCCTTAAGAGAACCGGCATTGCTTGCCATCCCCGTTCCTTGTCACTCTTAATACATAGAAATTTGAGATTGTTGAACACTGGCATCGATTCACAGCATAGAGAAAGAACCTGAAACAAGACAAATCCCAACTCAACATTATAACATCTGTTTCCAATTTCAGCGTACTTAGCTAAGATGACACTTATGAAACAAATACTGCGAAAGATAGTAATTATGCAAACTCACCTCGAGAGCATCGGCAGTAAAGAAAAGTTTCTGAACATTTCTTATGCCACTTATAAGCTTCCACACATTTCTAAGACGCAGAAAACCATCATCTTCATCATTTGGCGCTCGTATAAGATTGACTTGGCCTTCAGTTACCATAAGTCTGATGTGAGCCTCAACTAAACTCGTCAAGTTAACTTTTGGATAATCAGCCGCAACAAAATCAGAATACTCGAGGTAAACTAGACTTGGTGTATCAAAAGAAATGCTCTCTGGATTCAAGTAGTTTTCAAAACCACTTGCAAATATAGTTAGCTTCCTAAGGCTTGAACTTGATACAGTTTCATTCCAAAGCCACTTCTTATCAGCCAAATATAATTCCTCGAGCACAGGGAAAGCATGAAGAACCTTCTCAAGCTCATCACACGTAATCCACTCCGCGTCAATCTCGAGAGTTTTAAGCATTGGTAATAAAGTGCGTGTACTACCTCCACGCCACCAATTAACACCATATTCTTCACTTCTTAATTTCAGATCAACTAGTGTCTTGCTCTCGAACAATTCTTCCGGAAGACAATACATTTCATCAGTATCTGAATCATAACCCGAATAATCGAGGGAAAGGTCGAGATCCGAAACACCACGCCGCAACACATTACATATCCAACCATTCACACGATCTTTATCAATACCAGTTTCACATTTGAGTGAGAATCTCTCTATAGGAGAATCACCTTGCAAAGACAAAACCTTATCAACAAAATCCATGAAGCATTGCAAAATTCCTTCCCTTTCACGCTTACCCTCTTCAGGATAAAGAAAGACAGAGTCATCAATGTCAATATTAGGAACAAGTTTCCACAAATTGAGCCATCTTTTTGAAAGAACTGATGTTAAAGCAGCTTCCTTTGTTGTAAGAAAAGACAAGATATGACAAATAACCTCCTCTGGTAGATTACCGAACTCATCCATTGTCTCTGCAAATACCAACCATGAATTTGAAGAAACCCATTCAACAGTGCAAATAGAGAAGCGCTAAAACAAATTAAAAATTGAAACTTTGAACGAAAACAAGCTCATACTGAGAATAGAATCAGTAGAAGCAGAAGGAGTGAGTAAGATTTGGCACTTACCAGGGTACAGAAGCGAAATCCAAAACCCAAATTTGAGGGAAGATCTTGGGTTTCTGAAAGAGAAAGATCCGAATTACTGAATCGCTTCTACAAGCGAAGGCACAAACCACAAAGGCATACAAATGCATCAGAGGAAACCGAATTGTTTCCTTCATCACACATCACTTAGCAGAAGAGAAACTTGGTTAAGGTTGGTTTTGTTTCTAATTTCTGTCTTTTATTGGTTTGGTTTAGTTTGGACCGGTTTTGAAGGGTTAATTTCTAGAGAAGCTGTATTGTAAACCTCTGAAAAGTATACTATATTATACACTACAGGTTGATGTTATCAATTTAATCACAAAGTCATCTTAATCTAACTTATCAAAGACCCCACAGAGAAGACGACTCACTTATAATTAAAAATAAGTACTGAGCATACGGATCAAATCGACTATGGAACTATAATAAAGAGACTATGGAACAAATTGACTAAATAGTATGAGTAAACTTAGAGACAAACTTAGATTAAAAGCTTTTTGCTAAGAGCTTAGATTCAAAGCTAGAATCCAAACTTAAAACTCGAGTCTTAAACTTTATAGCAAGGTTTAGATAGTGAAACAACTCGGACTGGATCGACCCATGACAAATCAGGTTCAAATCAAGTGAACTAGGTTGGTTTAAGGGGGTCTTATGGTTGGCTTGGAGGCCATAAAAACAACTTCGGAATCGCTGAACGCAACAGGTGTTACCACGATTAGACAAAACGTGGGTTCTTTCCAAAGCATTACAAGTGTCAAGTTTTCTTCCTTGATCGACTTCATTCTGCAGGCCACTTCTTATACAACTCAGTGTACACCAGGAACTGGACATCACAACTAAAGAACTTGTCGTAATGCGTCAAAATCTGCGATACAAGTTTAAGCATTCCAGGGACTTCGAATTCTGTAGGATCATTCTCTTCGATATATATCTTCATCTCCTTCAAATGCGGGAAAGACTCCAAGAAATGCTTTATCATCTTCATCTCTCTAACTGTTCCTCTAAATCCTGTAATCTTCATATACTTCACTGGACAAGATGAGAGCGAACAACCTTTGTCCTCCCGAGCAATGCAGTCACAAGCATCCCCACATTTATCAGTCACATAGTGTAAGAGATCCTGAAAAGTAAAAAAAAAAAAGATTATAAGAAATTCTTAAGTATGAACTGCATCTGTAGATGTTTAACAAATGAGTTGTGTTTACACCTCAACGACTAGAGTTTCTAAATGAGGACAGTTCCTTAAGACAACCGGCATTGCTTGCCATCCCCGTTCCTTGTCACTCTTAATACGTAAAAATTTGAGTTTGTTAAATACTGGCATCATATCACAGCATAGAGAAAGCACCTGAAACAAGACAAATACCAACTCAACATTCTGTTTCCAAATATTGCAACAAACTTAAGTTCCATGAAACTGTTAGATTTCTTGGTTTCCCTTCGTACTGATGAAAAAAATACTGCAAAATAGCAAACTGACCTCGAGAGTATCTGCAGTAATGAAAAGTTTCTGAACATTTCTTATGCCACTCATGAGCTTCCACACATTTCTAAGATGCAGAAAACCATCATCTTCATCATTGGGCGCTCGTATAAGCTTGACTTGGTCTTCAGTTACCATAAGGTTGAGTCGAGCCTCAACTAAATTCGTCAAGTTAACTTTTGGATAGTCAGCCGCAACAAAATCAGAATACTCAAGGTAAACCAGACTTGGAGTATCAAAAGAAATGCTCTTTGGATTTAAATAGTCATCAAAACCGCTTGCATAGATAGTTAGCTTCTTGAGGCTTGCATTTGACGCAGCTTCATCACTGTTCGACCACGTCATATTGGCCAAATATAATTCTTGAAGCACAGGGAAAGCAGGACGAAACATCTCAAGCTCAGCACATAATATAATCCACTCCGAGTCAATGTCTAAAGTTTTAAGCATTGGTAAGAAAGTGCCTTCACTTGCATACCACCAATCAACACCATATTCACTTCTTAATTTCAGCTCCACTAGTGTCTTGCTGACAAACAACTCTTCCGGCAGAAAATACATATCTTCGGAATCGGAATCGTAACGCGAAA